GGACCACTCCTGAGCACAGAGCCAGGAATAGCTCCTGAGCACTGTCAAGAGTGACCCTTAAGCAGCACTGGGTGTGACCTAAAGCCCTCCAAAAAATAATAATAATAATTAAGTGTTTCTAGATGCAAAAGGCATCTGGTTAGCCTGGTGCCTTACTCAGAGAAAATTCCGGAGTGTATTATTGAGTACGTGGACGAGAACCTTCTTTCATGGGGAGCAGGAACCCTGAGAGTCTGCACGGACTCAGGAAGGCTCAAGCACGCCTTATCACTTTACCGCCCCTTTTTGGGTAAGATGAGAGGGGTTTGGACCGCACCCAGAGGTCCTTGAGGGGTTTTCCAGCAAATTCCTTGGGGGTCTCTCCTGGGACCTGTGCAGTGCTGGGAACCCTTAGCACTAGCCCTCAGAACGAGCTCCCCAGCTCTCCTTACTCCCTTTTTATTTTATTGTTTTTGTCTGGGGGCCACACCTGGTGATCTTCAGGGCTTACTCCTAGCTCTGCACTCGGAACCACTCCTGGCGGTGCTCAGGGGAATCATATGGGATACTGGAGATTTGAACCCTGGGTCAGGCCACATGCAAAGCAAGTGCCCTACCCAATGTCCTTCCTCAATGCCTTTAGAATTCATTACCTCCTCCTACTGCAAGACAGAGGAAATGCCGTAGATCTGAAGGAGGTGAGCTGGAGCACGTTTTGAGAGTTTTGCAAATGTCTCCTGACCTCATTGTTGGCAGGGCAGGGAAATGTGCCTAGAGCACCCAAGAGGGCCCAGGGCTTGGTGATGGGAGGTGGGCTGACGCGTCGGGTTGAGTGTTCCCAGAGTCGTGAGGTCAGTCTGTTGGCCGGCCCGCCCAGCCCCGTCCTGACCTCTGTTCAATCAAAGCCTGAGCTGAGAGCATGGTGGTGAGTTTATCATCGTTGTCAGTGATGTGAAGTCAGGGGGGAGTGCCAGTATGATGGACGCCAGGGTCAGGTTTCAGAACCATCCGGTCTGCTTGAAACACGAGCCAGGTAGTGCTGAGTTCTGCTCTTGGCACCCAGCAACTCACAGTGCCTCTGGGACAGCGCAGCCCGGGGGAGAAAGCCCGCGGGGACACAGTACCAGTTGGTGGTGTGAGGGGGTTGTGGAGAGCAGGCAGTCTGTGGCAGTTGGAATCGAAATAAAGTGGCTAGAGGAAAGAAAGCACATAGGGTCCTCATGCCCCGCCCTGGCCCTGGCCACATTCTCTATTTCTGCTCCTGACGCTCCACTTCCGGACACAAACACTCTGGCTTTGACAAGCCGGGGGAGTGTGACTTGGATGGACGGAAGGTTTCAGAGCCCCGTCTTCCGGAAATGCCGGGCAAAGTGAGGGCCACGAACCCTGGAAAAGGGAGACCATCGGTGAACGGAAAGAACAGCTTCTAGGATTTGAAAGGCTGCCCAGGCAGGGTGGATTCAGTGATTCCGGGCCACGGGAGGACCAGCAGATGAGAATCGCAGGAAGGCTGGCTGCGAAAGGGGGGGCCCCGCCCGGCGCCCCAGCAGAACAAAGGCCTCCGGGAAGGTGCTTCAGGCTGCAGGGGGCCCAGAGTCCATGGTGGAGCAGTCCGCCGCCCACTTGCCCTCTCCCGCCTGGGCCGGACCTTTGCTCAGAAGGGGGCGGTCTGCCCTGAGCTAAGGCAGTTGGGTTTGGGGTCCAGGAGAAGACAAACAAGTCTCAGTTAAGCTATCAGCATTCCTGGAGGTGGAGCAGATAGAGAGGCCGCCACTAACATCCTTTTCATGGCTTCACTCTGGGGTGCCTGACAGGCTTTCCAGGGGCTGTCTCAGGGAGTTATTTATTTCCATCCAGAGGATAGCGAGAGGTGCGAAGGAGCGTGTCTGTCCAAGGCCATGCAGGACTGGAAACGCGCACCCTCGGCCCTGAGCTGCCTTTGTCCTGGCTGTCCCGGGCAGGTGGCCTCCCAGGAGCTCTGCTCCCTTCCAACCCCCAAGTCCCCGCCTTCCCCTCCACCAGGAACTCGGGAGAAAACAGCCCAGCTGAAAAATTAGGCCATGCTGGTGAGCACACACACACTCTCTCTCTTTTTTTTTTTTATGACTAAGATTAAGCTGACAACCATGCAAAACATTGCAAACCTATGTCGGCTGCAGATTTAATACCTCACCCAGCCCACACAAATAATTCATGCTTCTGCATCGATGTCCAGAAAAAACAAATCAGCAAAAAGCTGGGCGAGAGAGAGAGAGAGAGAGAGAGATTGCGCACGGGAGAGATACAGGGGGAGCGAGTGAGGGGACATTTCCAGTGAAGCAGCGTGCGGAGCCCCAGGACTGCAGATCTAGCATTTTGCAATTCTTTTTTTTTTTCTCTTATAAGATTAAAGTACATTTTCAAATGATTGAAGGTTGGTGGGAGGTGTAAATGTGGGCCCTTGTCACATTAATTCTTCAGATGATTAAGTTCTTTTCCATTTCTTTAAAGCTGTTTGCAGTTTGGTTTGATGTCCTCTGTTCTGGGTGAGTGTGTTGGAGCAGTTACCAAGGTGACTTTAGCTGACTTTCAACAATTTATTTTTCCCTCCAGCTTGAGACGTCTCCAGCCCTGTGTGCTGTTGATTCTGCTGCTCTCTCAAACCCCCTCCCCCGCCCCCAGTTGCTATTCATCAGCGTTTCTGCCTGTGCCTGACACTCAGGGCTCCCCTAGCAATCCGGGGGCCAGCCGGGCCTCTGTCCCCAGCGAGGGAGGCGGGAGGTCATTCCGTGGACTCTTGTCAGAGGAGTCTGCAGGTGTCGTGGCCAGAGTCAGGCATGGGGAGCCAGAGAGATAACTCAGCGGGTAAGGCGCTTGCCTCGTAGGTGGCCGGCCCTGGTTTGAGTCCTGGGCATGACACAAGGTCTCTGTGCACTGCCACACGTAGCCCAGCACCCTCGCACCCACTATGCCCACAGTCCAGCCCTGACTAACAAAGCAGCCAGCCTGGGACCTGAGGCTTGTCATCACAAACATCTGAGTCTCAGTTTCCTCCTCTGTAAAGGAAGAGTTAACCATCGGGCCAGGCATCAACCACATAGGGGGCTGCTGCCGGTGAGGGCACCACAAAGTCCCTGCGATCTCACTGGAGCAAAGCGACCTTATACCCAAGAGGGCTGGCTGGCAGGGAAGGGGAGGGGGGGGCTGGGGAAGGTGACCCCATGGGAAAGCACTTGCCTTGCGTGGTGGGTCCCCATGTTCCCTTTCTAATACCACTGCCCCTAAAAAAGGGAATAATCATAATTATAATAACAAAATGAGGAAGTGAGAGCCTGTGCCCTGAAGGGGCCCTGGAGGCATGCTTGGTGGTCGCATTGCCCCCCAGGGTGGGGAGAGGAGCTGCCTGGGGCTGAGACTTCCAGGCCGGAGGCCTTGCCCGGCCCATGGCCTTGAACACGTTACCGGCTCTCAGAGTGTAAAGGAAAGCAATAGATTATACAACCTCATGGTTTCCTTCCAGTCGTGAAATTCCATCACCCTCTTGGCCGTGGCGTTGATTTCCTCCGGGTCCTTGTGAAAGTTCTCGTCAGAGGAGCGGCCAGGGCAAAGGGCAGTTTCAGAACTGGCTTTGAGAAGCCAGAGGAAGGGGCCCCTGTGCAGGCGGGTCAGCTTGGGGGTGGGTCTGCCCAGCTGCTGGGAGCACGACCTCTTCTATTTTCTCTTCTTTTTTGGGGGGAAGGGGACATTCCTGGAGATGCTTGGGGTAACTCCTACCTCTGCACTCAGAAATTACTCCTGGCAGTGTTGGGGAGACCATATGGGATGATGGGGATTGAACCCAGGATGGCTACATGCAAGGTCGGGTGGCATCCAGGTTTAAAGGCATATTGGCTGGGGTCGGAGAGATAGTATAGTGGGGAGGACACTCACCTTGCATGCCGTCAACCCAGGTTCAATCCCTGGCATCCCATGTCCTCTGAGCCCCACCAGGAGTGATCCCTGAGTGCAGAGTCAGGAGTAAGCCCTGAACACAGCTGAATATGGCCCCAAAACAAGAAATCCACCCACCCCCCAAAAAAAGAAACCCAAACCACCTTTTTTAAAAAAAATTTTTATTTTATTTTGTTTTGTTTGTTTTTTGGGTCACACTGGTGATTCATTGGGGTTACTCCTGGCTCTGCACTCAGGAATTACTCCTAGCGGTGCTCAGGGGACCATATGGGATGCTAGGAATTGAACCCGGGTCGGCCTCCTACCTGCTGTGCTATCACTCCAGCCTAACCACCTTTTTTTTTAAAAAAAAAAAAAAAAAGAAAGAAAGAAAAGAAAATTAAACTAAAGGAGGGCTGGCTGTGGGCAGTAGTATACATGCCCAGCATGCCAGCACCTGCTCTGGTCTGGCCTTTGCAGCGGCAGCTGAAGGGAAGCTCTTGGACCTACAGCTCCTGGGACTGTAAACCCCTCAACCTGGGAGGATGAGAGGTCTGAGACCTTGGGAGCAGTTGGGGGAGGACTCCCATAAGCTCCTGCTGCCGTGCTGGGGTTAGGCCACTTGTTTGTGGTTGGCCGGTATGCCGTGTGGGCCGGCTCTTGGGGGAGTTTGGGCCCAACCTGGTGGTGCTCGGGGCTCTTCCTGGCTCTGAGGTGACCCTTGGTGGTACTTGGTGGGGACCAAATCCCAGGTCAGCTGTGTGCAAGGCAAGCGCCCCAATCCCAGTATTATTTCTTGGGTCCACGGTGATGAAGATTTAAGCACCTTTCAGACTCCAAGTCCCGGCTCCACCCACAACCCAGCAGTGGACAAGTTTCTTGCCCCCTATTGCCAGGGGCAGGCACTGTGAGGAGCAGGGTCAGGGGACGGGCTTGTCCCAGCACAGCCACAGGGGCTTGGTGAGTGTGTGGGGACAGTGGCTGTTCCCAACGCCCCTCAGTCCCCTTCCCTGGCCTTAGTCGCCCCTGCCCGAGACCCCCTACCCCTCGGCGTTCCTCCCACGGCTTCACAGGTGCTGAGTCTGCTGCCGCGCTTGTGTTCACCCCTACAGGAGTCGCAAGGACAGCCTGGAGAGCGACAGCTCCACGGCCATCATCCCGCACGAGTTGATCCGCACGCGGCAGCTCGAAAGCGTGCACCTGAAATTCAACCAGGAGTCTGGCGCCCTCATTCCCCTCTGCCTCCGGTGAGCCCCCCAGCATGCACACACGCCCCCCCCCCACCTTTTGTCGGGGACCCAAGGACAGTTGATCTCTGATCCTGCCGCGCTGAGGAACTCACCTGTCCATGTGTGGGCCTGCTTGCTCTGGCCGCCCCGCCAGCCAAGAGTTGGGGACCCATCTGCCGTGTGCTGCTTTGCCCGTACAGACCACCTTCCTTCTCTGAGCCCAGCCGCTGAGGACCAGGCGCCCCAGTGGTGCCCACAGGCTGCGCTGCCCGATGCCCAGCCCCTCACTCTGCTCGAGGCGGTTCTGCGGCTGAATCTATTGCCTCTCGCCAGATCTCTCCTTCTCTTTTCCTATTTTTTTTCATTTGCAGGTGGTTGGTGTGGGGCAGGGCAGGGGGTGGGGTTCGAGCCGTGCCAGCGGTCCTCGGGGGCTAATCCCAGCTCTGTACTAATCCCCTCCCTGCGGTGGGGATTGAGTCTGGGTTTGGCCACATGCAAGGCGGGCGCCTCACCCCCACACTCTCTCTGAGGCGCCTCTCAAACCCCTCGCTTAGTTCCTGGCATGCGTGTGGGCACATTTGCCAATCGTCTTCCTGACTTCAATGTCCTCACTGGGACACTGAGGCAGCCAGGTCCCTGCTGGCCATTTGAATGCCCCTTCGGGGTCTCTGCTGGCCGGGCTGGTGGGGAATGATGATGGGGCGGGAAGTGGCCTCGAGAGGTGTGGGATGAGCTCAGTTATGGTGCCCAGGTGCAGGCAGGCATCCAGGGGGCATCACCTGAGGGGTAACAGACCAGCTGCTCAGTCTCTCCCTGTCCTCCCCCCCAGGGGCAGGCTCCTGCACGGGCGACACTTCACCTATAAGAGCATCACGGGTGACATGGCCATCACGTTCGTCTCCACGGGAGTAGAAGGCGCCTTTGCCACCGAGGAACACCCGTACGCGGCTCACGGACCCTGGTTACAAGTGAGGAGGCTCTTCCCTGCCCCCTCCTCCCTGGGCAGCTCTGGGGACCACTGCCCCTTAGGAGACCGCTGGGTTGCAGGGGATGTTGCCTCTGTCGCCACTCCAGGAGCACTTCCGGAGCGCGCGCGCGCACACACACACACACACACACACACACACCACACACACACACACACACACACACACACACACACCACACACACACACACACACACACACACACCTGCTGCTACCTGAGCTGTGACTCTCCAGGCCTCACCTTTGGGGAGGTCAGAAATCCAGGCATGAGAAATGTTGAGGCTTTCTGCATTCTGGATAAACCGAGGTATAAAAAAAGGGGGTGAGGGGCATGGGCAATAGTACAGCGGGTAGAGCATTTGCCTTGTACTTGGCCGGCCTGGGTTTGATCCCTGGTATCCCATATGGTCCCCTGAGCACAGTGAGGAGTGATTCCTGAGCGAGAGCCAAGAGCAAACCCTGAGCATCACCAGGTGTGGCCCAGAAATAGAAGGGAAAAACTCAAGCAAGAAAAGGAAAGAAAATGAGGGTTGGGGAGAGAGTGCAGCAAGTAGGGTTACTTACTATGACCTACTGGCCTGTGACCAACCCGAGTTCAATCCCTGGCACCACATAGGGTCCCCCAAGCCCGTCAGTAGTCATCCCTGAGCACAGAGCCAGGAGTAAGCCCTGGGCACTGTCTGGTGTGGACCAAAAACCAAACAAAAAATGAAATAAAAGTAAATGGGGGTGAAGGACCGGAGCAAGAAGAAAGAAAGGGGGCCGGAGCGATAGTACAGCGGGTAGGGCATTTGCCTTGCATGCGGCTGACCCTAGTGATACCCAGAATCCCATATGGTCCCCCCAGCACAGCCAGGAGTAATTCCTTAGTGCAGAGCCAGGAGGAACCCGTGTGCATCACTGGGTGTGACCCAGAAAGGGGGAAAAAAAAAGAATGAAGGAAGGAAAGAGAAGCAGGAAGGGAGGGACTATGTGAGCCGCTCCCTAGTGGAAGCCCCACACCCCAGAAGCCCCGAAGAGTAGGTTCTAGACACGGGGCGGAGGCTGCGACGGACGGGCCTCAGCAGACAGGGCCGACCCCCTTTTCCCCAAGGTCCCCCTCTGCATGTCAACCGGTGGCTTGTCAGGACACTGTCCCTCTTTCGCTCCCCCAGCTGAAGCAGCGCTTCCAAGCCATTGCCAAGTGAGGTGTGGGCCCGAGAGCTGTAGCCACCTGCCCCCTCCTGGGCCCGGTCAGGCACATCCTAACTGTATTTGAAGAGCAGCATCCTTCCTGTGTCAGTGGGCTTTGTTTGCTTGCCTTTGGGAGGGGCGAGGCGGGGTTGGGGGGGAGGGGGTCCACACCTGGCTGTGCTCGGGGCTTACTCTTGGCAGTGCTCAGGAGACCATATGGGGTGCTGGGGATTGAACCTGGGTCGGCCACATTCGAGGCAAGCTCCCTACCTACTATACTATTGCTCCAACCCATTTTTTTCGTTTTTGTTTCTTGGTGGGAGGGTGGAGGGAGGAATTCTGCCTTACCTCTCACGAGTGTCAGGAAAGAGCATCCAGGACTGGGCCTGTTTGTGGGGAAGGGGTTGAGGGGCACGGGCAGGAGAACTGGAGTAGAGAGGGGAAGAATGATGCTGGCTTTCTGGGTGTGACCCGGTTGGGGGTGGGGGTTGTGGGGTCAGGGAAGCACATATAGGTAGGGGTGTGTGTGTGTATGGGTGGGGGTGTGTGTGTGCTCACGCGCGCAAGAGACCTCAGCACCCGCCTGCTGTGTGCGTCTCTGCAGCTGACTCTTTCCTCCTCAGCCAGCTCCGCAGTCCCCCACCAAAATACTAACCCTTAATTAAAACAAACAGCAAACAAAGGGCTCTGGGCACACTCCCTGGCCAGAAGTGGGAGGGCGCTTTAGGGGATATTGTGCTCCATAAATTATGGTGCCTTTTCCACTGTTGTTATTACATTGTTTCATAACAAAATTACTTTGAACCATAAAGTTATAAATACATTTTAAAAGTCCCACTTGGTCCTGTTAGATTTCCGTCCATGTGGTGTTGGGAGTTCCTTTAGCACCAGCTCTGAAGTGTGGCAGTTTGCAGTGAGCCCGGGGTGGACAGGGCCCCTTCCCCTGAGCCCATGCCTGGGCAACTCACAGGTCCCCGTGTCCAGCAAGAGACCATGTGCCAGTGTGTCTCAGCAAACTTCCCCAGGGCTCATGTTGCCGTGAAGGTCTCGGAGCATTTTCTTGGGGAGGCAGAGTCCGGGGTGGCCCCAAACGCAGGAAGAAATCCCACCCAGCCCCATTTCACCTGCTCCACTGTGAGCATAAAGTCCCTCCCCCCATCTTCCTGGGCACCCCTGGGGTTCTCAGCAGCCTGGGACCCTTGTCTTCCCAAGACGCCCCATGACCCTTCTTCCCCGCCAGAGTTTTGGACCCAGCCCCAATTCCCAAGCACCTTTTGTGCCCCGGCCGCCACGCTCCGCTCGGGCAGCGCTGGACCTTCCCGCAGCCCCGATGCCCCAGCCCGGCCCCTCCTGGGTGCTGTTGCCTGGGGAACGGGGAGCGGTGGGAACCAGCCGCTGGCCTCGGCATGTTTCAATAAAGTTGCTGTGCTAGAAACTGCTTAATCAAAGGCCTAAGTTACGGGCTCATTAGTGTGGTCCGCCACGGGGGCCGCCTCACAGGGGAGAGCCCAGCAGGGCTGGCTGGGGCTCCGCTCCCCAAGCAGGCACCCCCACGCACACCACCGGGAGGTTGCTCCTCGGGCCCATTCCAAGGGGCGCTGGGCAAGCCTCCGCCCTCCCCGCCGCCGTCAGCACTTTCTCAGCCCACTGCCAGCCGCCTTCTCCTCTAGGGTCTTGCCGTGGTGGGTCCAGGCAGCTCCCCAGCTTGTGGGAACCTGAGCGTGTAATTACTTGTGGGCTCCTCCGGCTCCCTCGGGCCGCCTGGCTCCCTGGGCATCTGCAGAACCTCCTGGAGGCCTGGGGTGAGGCTCATGGTCTCCCAGGAGTAGCCACGGCACTGGGCAAAGAAGAGCCCCTGCCCGGGGCGGGGGTGAGGGGCCAGAGGAGACCCAGAGCACAGAGGTGACCACACACTCTGCAGGGTCTCCTTGGCCTCTGTGCCCCCCAGGGCCTGCTGCGGGTCCAAGGCAGGGCGGGCTGGGCAGGGGCCGGCCCAGCTTCTCGCCGTGGCAGGCGGGCGGGGCAGCTTCCTCGCGTCAGCCCTGGACGCCCGCTCTCCCGGCCTTGGCACCTGGTGCTGGCGCCCGGCCCAGGCCGGCGAGCTCTTGGGGAAAGGCACGGCAGAGACACCCCACATGGGGGAAGAGTGACAAAGGAGAGGCCGAGAGAAACAGGCAGAAGGTGAGGGAATCTGGGCCCTTTCCAAAACCCGGGACGTGCCGTGGACAGGCCTCCACGTCTGCCCACTCCTGGCCTCCCTCCCACCCCCGTTTCACCAGACCTGGGAAGGTCCAGGCCTCGGCTCGCAGCCGCTCCCCTGGGCACACCGAGGGACCGGGCCTCAGCTCCCATGCCAGGGGCTTCCCCGTCCCAGGAGGCGATGCCCCTGGTGCCTTCCCGCTTGCTGTGTGGACCCTCCCTCACCCCTTCCCAGCATGCCCTTCCCCAGGCCTTTAACCAGCCTCTTTCCCCGGAGCCTGTCATCACCAGGCACCCAGCATGAGGCGCTTGGCTCCTGGTCCCAGGCCCTGACGCCAGAGACGGACCCCAGCGGTCACATCCCTAATCACGAGATCCTGTTAAGCCCCACCGTGCTTTCCCGCTGTGAGCGTCTGATGGGAAGCCCCGCTGCTGGCTGGCTCAGCCCTGTCCTCCCACAGACTGCCACCGCCTCCACCCTCAAGCACCCATCATGCGTGCCCCTGGCTTGGGCACCACCCTGCTGGTGCCCCTACTGTTCCTCCTGCCTCCGGGAACCCTTGGTTGGGCCAGGGGCATCCCGACCCAGGCTAAGGGGAGCCTGTCGTCTGCCCCAGTCAGCTTTTCACCCTGCACTGCACTGCACTGGGCGCGCACAGGAGGCCACACCCTGGCTTTCATCTGCCTGTCGTGGGGGGCCCGAGGTGCAGGCCGGCTGCTTCCGCATCCCCAGGGTACCCAAGCAGCTCTGAGGCAGGCGGCCCTCTGTCAGTGGTTGGCTTCCTTCCCTGAGAGCAGCAGAGGGAGGGGGAGAGGGCCACAGCTTCACGTCCCCATGAAGAGTAAACAAGGCCCGGACAAAGCATGGCGAGTGAGACCCCAGGTAGGGTGAGCATCTCCAGCCCTCATGGAGATGGGGCTCAGATCTGCACCCAGCCCGCGTGCCCACCCGCCCATGGCAGACACCTGGAGTCCTTTGTTTGTGTGTTTGTTTGTTTTTTGCTTTTTGGGTCACACCCGGCAGTGCTCAGGGGTTACTCCTGGCTCTGCACTCAAGAATTACTACTGGCGGTGCTCAGGAAACCATATGGGATACTGGGATTCGAACCCAGGTCAGCTGCTTGCAAGGCAAACACCCTACTCTCTGTGCTATCACTCCAGCCCCTTGGGGTCCTTTTTGAGGCTTGCTGGGGTCTGGGGTACTGTGAGGTCTAGATAAAGTCCGGCTGTTCCAAGGCACCTGGGATCAGTCCCCAAACATGGAAGGGGTCGGGGGACGGGGGCTGCCCCTCCTAGCTTAGCCCATGTTGGGTCCACATACCTCTCCCGCTTCCTGTGAGCTCTAGTCTTGTGCCCACAGTCTCCCAAGGCCTCCTGGGGTGCCTTTTTTCAAACACAGGTACCTGGGATATTCTGATCCTGAAGCTAGACCTAGGAGCTCCATATTCAAAAGCTTGCGGGGAGTGAGGGGCTGGCTGCTTGGATTGATCTCGGATTGACCCGGCCTGGCTCTTCCCACCCCCAAGCTGTTCCTGCACAGATGTGCTGGATACATCGGCGGAGTGCTATTGTGAATTTTATGACGATGACTATTTCTGCTGTTTTATTATTATTGCTATTTTTCCTGCTACCCTTTTTTTTTTCTGGGCTACAATAAGTGTTGTCTTGTCTGTATGTGTCAAGCCGGCCTCAAACTTCCCCTGCTCCCCTACTTGGAAAGACCATCCTTGGGCGTGGTCTGCTGCCTTTTCCACTTGACCAACCGAGCTCTTGAGCAGCTGCGGGTGGATGGCTTCAGCCCGTGTCGCTGAGCCTGTGGCCGGGAGCTGCATGGTATTTGGCGTTGGGATTGCAGGTTTCCAGGCCATTGGTAGAAGCCGAAACCCCCTTCACCTCCCCTTTAGAGGAGAGAGGAGTGAGTGTTGAGTATTTGAGGCTTCTCGAATCAGTCCCTTCCCACCCAAGAAAGAGCACCATTGAGTGCTCCTGACCATGACCAAATGTAGCCCTGAAGGCCGTGAGCGTCACTGAATATAGCCTAGGTGGCCCCATTATCCCAGGCTCCATCCTCTGAACCTCTGACCAAGTTGGCTCTGTGTCTCCGGGAGTTGCTGGGCCCCATCCGCATTGCTTGAAAGCACCCCTCCCCCCCACACACACACCGCCAAATTAAAGAGTATCCTGTTCTGTAGGCCAGAGAGCGAGAGATAGCTTCTGCAGAGTGGGGGGCAATAGCTCCTTGCCTGCAGGCCTGCTATTAGGGGAATAATCAGCCACTGTTCCAGTGGGCTCAGGTCCTTGTCCTCGGACTGTTATGATCAGCACAGAGGCTGAATTTGGTAGAAACCTTGAGGAAAGAAAGGGCAGGGTAGAGGAACTGCCAGAGCCTAAGAGTCTACCGTAGTGGGTAGGGCGCTTTCCTTTTACACAGCTGACCCAAGTTCCATCCCCAGCACCCTGTATGGTCTCCCGAGGAGCCTAGCAGGAGTGAGGCCTGAGCACAGAAAAGGAGTCAGCCATTGAGCACTACCAGTTGTAACTCAAAAACCAACAAAACTTCTTTTGCTTCTTTTTTTTTTTCTTTTTGGGCCACACTCCTGGCGGTGCTCACGGAACCCTATGGGATGCCAGGGATCGAACCCAGGTTAACCACATGCAAGGCAAACGCCCTACCCACTGTACTATCTCTCTGGTCCCTCCTTTTACTTCTTAACTAAGGGCACAGGTGAGCTCTGGCTTGGATTTCGGACCCGCGGGATGCTCTAAGGGGTAGGGCGTGAGTAGGCTGATGGAGAGGGCCGTCTCCTGCATCTCCTGGGTGCACTGCCCTGGGCCCCTTCCTGGGTGGTTCCACACCACGCTGGGACTTTTCTTTGGGTCCCTTCTCTTGCCAGTCTCCCCCTACTGCCCCTCCGTCGTCCACTATCGATCCTCATCAGGGAGACGGCCCTGCCCCCACGTGGCGCTGGGGGTGGTGTCATCCTGGCTGTCCTTCCAGCCATTCCTGTCATGATTCCTGTTATGAGTTGTTGCAGAGCCAGGCAGCCCTGTGGGGCCCCGGGGAGCTTCCAGAGCCCTGGGCCCCCAGCTCAGCACCGGCCTTTCCCACACTTGCCTCACAACAGCGAGTCTGTTCCTCAGAGAGTGCCCAGGAGCTGCTCCATCATAGCTGTCTATCTCCAGGGTCCTGTTGATAAGATCTGTTAACATTCTCAGCTCCAGGTCTGGGATATACAAAGAACAGGGCCTGTTTGTTCAATCCCAGCTTCTAAGGTTTAACTCCCAGAGGAAATTAAATTAGGTGCCTGGGGCTGTGACGGTCCAGCCCAGGCCCCACGTTTCTTTGCCGGGGAATCTCACCCTTTCCTATCACGCACATCTCCTGTGTGATTTTTTTCCTCTGTGTCTCGTTTCTTTTTTAAAAATCCCAGGAAGTTTTTCCAAAGGAAGCAGCGAATCGCCACAAGTGAAAAATGGAGGAGCCACTTGGGGGTGTCCCCGATTCGGTTCCGTTGTCCCCTCCCCCCAGCTGCATAGGAAGTGGCCACGGAGATGGCGTCCCTTTGGAGGCAGATGGCTCCCACTTGGTCTTCCTTTAGCCCCTAATTGCAGACCTTTGTGCGAGGAGGAGCTGGTTTAGCTTGGGGGTTGGGGATGGGAACTTTCCTTTTGTTTGAGTCTCTCTGGGTGGCCAAGGTCCTTGTGGAGGACCCCTCCTCCCGGCCACCACCCCACCCCCAGACCTATTCTCCTCTCTGGCAGGAAGGTCCCCTGCACACTCCCGGGCTGGGGATGAGTGCAGTGGGCCGAATGGGAGCCCTTGGGGCCTGAGTGGGTTTCCTTCGGTCCGCGTGTGCTGGAGCTTGTGTGTACAGCCGTGGCAGCAAACCCCGGAAATACCAAAAATATGAATGTGACTTTTGTACTGCTCTAGCAGACTGGTGATAACTGGTCGAGGAACTCTCTGGACTTCGGGGGAAAGAAACCCTGTGGGAGGAGAAGAGGCCACAGCAGGGCAAGGTGACGGGGCGGGGGTGGGGGGTGGGGTGGCAGCGGATGGGCATTTCCTGGGGCCCACGACAGACCTCAGCTCTGGCCTCCACCGAGGCCTGAGCTCCTGGAGCAGAATCAGATGTGGACCGGTGGCTCAGTGGTGAGTGCCTGGTCATACATGCTGGCGTGCTGGGTCAGAGATGTCTCCCTGGAGGAGGGTGCCTGTCTGGGGGGACCTGCTTGCTTTTTTTGTTTTTGTTTTTGTTTGGGGGGCGGGGTCATACCCGGCAGGTTAGTCCTGGCTCTGCACTCGAATTACTCCTGAAGATGCACGGGGACCAGATGAGATGCTGGGGATTGAACCCGGGCCGACCGCCTGCACGGTACATGCCCTCCCGGCTATAGTATCACTCCGGCCCCTGGAGCTGCTTTCATACCTGTGTCCTGGGCCTCCTGCCAGAGCCAGCCTCGCAGAGGCGCCCCGGGGATGTGTGATCCGAAAGGTGCTAGGCTGGACGGGTGCGTGCACCCTAGGTGGAGTGAGTTGGTGTCCTGAGCTGAATTTAGACAGGTATGGGGTCTTTTTCGGCCATTCATGGACCCCAGTACATGCCCTCCCCTCTTGGGTCGCTTCCCGCCTTCTGCAGATGGCAACGCCCCATAAGCCATTTGGTGGTGAGTCACGTCCTGGAGAAGGTACGGGTGCTGTCCTGTAACTTGTACCCACTTCCATCCCCTCAGCCTCCCTCCCTTGAGATCCATACGGGTCCCACTTACTCCCCTCGCCTTTTAATTTACTTAGGTGTAGGGCCCACCCAGCGATGCTCAGGGCTTACTCCTTGCCCTGAGCACAGGGATCACTCCTGATTGTGTTTGGGGGACCATATGTGGTGCCAGGGATCTCATCGGGTTGGCTGTGTGCACAAAAAGTGCTCTACCCACTGTGCTATCTCTCTGGCCCCATATTTTCCCTTCTTGTAGCAGCCCAGACCGTTCACTTACTCTTAAAGCGGACTCTTCCGAGGTGTGGAAGCTTCTGTTCTCGTTTTCTTGCAGTGGTCAAGAACCAGCTCATAATAGAAATCTGTCTTTTGCCTCCTTCCCAGATTCTGAGCACGAGCCCTACAGTGCTCGGGGTTCATGCGGAGCTGGGGATGGAACCTGGACCTCCTGAGCTCTCGGCCCTGCAGCCTCTTACCGGACCGAGCTCCTCTCAGGGGAACCTGACAGGGCACTTCTCATCTTCATCCCCACCCTTCTCCATCCACTTGGGCTTTCCCTCAGAGGCGGCCCCTCACCCTCCGTCTCTCTTCCCCACCCCTTCCTCTGTTCCCCACCAGGATGTTCTCAGTGGGGGACTGGGGGCAGGGAAAGGCACAATCCGGGTACACAAAGGCCAGCAGTGGAGACCGGGAGCCTCTTGGACCAGCTCAGGGCAGAGTGGGAGGGGGAGGACTCCCTCAGCCTGACTGGGGACAGCCGGTCCAGCTCTGCGCATGCAGCCTGAGCTCAGAGTGTGGTGAGGAAGTCACCGTCCCGCCTGCAGATGCTGCCGTTAACCTTAGAAACTCCTCATGAGCTGAGGATGAGCGGGGATGGCTGTGCCCAGCCATGGGACAGGCGGGGAGGGAGGTGGGGGGAACAGGAGGTCCTGGACATCAAAATGTCAAGTGGGAGGCCATCAGACAAGCACAGCAAAATGGGACCTAGGGCAGGTAGGCTGGAGAAATGGTTTCCCTAAGGAAGCCTGGAGGAATCCTGGCCAAAACAAATGGGAGTTGAGAGGCTGTTCGTCCATGAAGGAGAGAGAGGGTGGTGCCCGGCGCCCAGACCCTCCAGCGCCCGCCTTCCTGGATGCACCTTCTGAGACATTCCCACATTCTCCCCCAGGCTGGCTTCCAAATCCAATAGATTCCTTTTGTTCCTACCAAGCCAGGGCTGGGGGAACTTGTGAGTCCTGTGGGGCGGGGCTGATGCAGTTTCCCGAAAGTGCCCCACACCCCGCAGCAGCCTGGGCCACGGATGGGGGGGGCCCTCCCAGAGAGCATGTGCACTGCTCGGGCCACCCCACCTCGGGGCCCCCCACCCGCTGGCCCTTACTTCCCTGCCTCGGTCCCCTGCTGTTGCAGCAGGGGGCAAAGAAGGAGAGGATGGCTGACTTGTCGGGGGCCCGGTGGTCTTGGGCATCAGGACCAGGACCTCATGTCCACGGGGGTGCCTTGAGACCTTCTCTAGAGCACACCCCAGGAGGCTTGTGGTCCGGGGCCAGGAGAAAGGCCCTCAGTTGGCAGCTGGCAGGAAACCCAGATATTTAAACTAAAAGCCTGTCTTGTGCCTCCTTCCCAGATTCTGTTGACGGAAGAATTTGTAGAGAAAATGTTGGAGGACTTGGAAGATCTGACTTCTCCAGAAGAGGTAAGGCCGTGTTGCGTGGGAGGGCGCCCGAGTGGTGTCCGACGGCCGAGCGCTCCCTGCTTCGGGGGCATGTCTGACTCGGTTCCTCAGAACCTCCTCAGAAGGCAGCAGGGCTTCCGGCTAGTCCGCCTCTCCAGCCCCTGCTGTTCCCTGGCAGGTTCTGAACAGAAGGCCCACGTCTGCTGCCAGAGAACATTCCAGCAGGGAGTCGCGGTGGGCAGAGGGCTCCTGCGATCGCCTCGGGCCACCCAGGAGCCGCTCTGCCTGCCCTCGGCCCAGCCTGGCAGCCACCGGCCAGGTGGGGGTTTGTGCCTCCCGGGCCGCTCCTCAGGGGTACGGGAGTGGAGCCCCGTAATCCCCTTTGTTTTTCTTCCTTGTTCCTGGCATCCCCATTGCAGGGCCTTACCTCATCCTGGAAAGTCCCTTCCCCTCCCCGCCCCCCACTCCTCCTAAGCTGCACCCCAGTGGAATCTGAGCTTCCCTGGCGTCTGTGCCCCTCAGTTGGTGGAACTTTAGCCTGGCCCTGGAGAGCGCCCGGGCCCGCCCCTGCCTGTGGTCTCCAGATAGACCCTGCCTGCGCCCTCTCTGCCTGGAAGTGGAGCCAGGGCGGGCTCTTTGGCCTCCCTGGAGCCAGGCTTTCAAGCTGGAAGCGGGGAGGCCAGGCAGAAAGGAACTTTCGGGCAGTACTGGAGCTTACAGCTTCAGGGGCTCCCCGGGGGTGGGGGTGGGGGCCTCAGCTAACCTGGAGGCCCAAGGGCCCCTCCAGCCTGCGCTGGGCAGAGGCATGTGTCCTGCCCAGGTTTCCAAGCGTCCTCCAGCCCTGAGGTCACCCCCACTGCGATAGTGTCTTCTCTGTCCTCCAGGATGTGGTTGCATCAATCAGCTCATTGATCCATTCAGAATTCACCAGGCCCCCGCTCCGGGCCCGCCATCCGCCCCGCCAGGCAGCAGGCCCCGCGGCCCGGCCCCCGTTCAGCCCGGCCAGAGCCAGCTGCCCAGAGCACTTCCTGAGAGGCCGCAGCGATGGCAGCAGGCCAGGCCGCTGCTTGGAGCTGGGGCGTGGGGGGCGCGAGGGGACAGTGCAGTGGGAGGGATAGAGCCGGGGGAGCTGGGGAAAGTGGGTCACGAAGGACCGTGGTTTTGTATGTTGTTTTATTTTTGCTTTCCTGTCCAGAGGCTGTCCCTTCTCTCCGGTTCGGTCTCTCCTTGGCCAGTTCCTCCATTGGAGGGAGATTTGCCAGCTAGAAGTCAGGCCTGCCTACTTCCGGCCCCAGCTCTGGGCAGCCTGAGAGCTCTGTTCCTCCCCCTGTCCAGCCTGGCCTGGGGACAGTGAGAGTCACAAAAGGCAGACCCTGCTTCCAAGCTCCAGTGCTGTTCAGGGCGAGTCACTGAACATCTATCGAGCACCAGCTGTGTGCCAGCCCGTTTGCAAGGTCCTGTGCAAAGGGAATGTGATGTGAGCTTGGGGCCAGGTATGTAGCTCACACATGCGGCCCAGGGTCTGATACCTGCTGCTACAGGAAAGATAGACAGATGGACAGACAGACAGATCAATATTCGCCTCTTTCCCCCTCCCCCCACCAGATGGTAGAACGCATGCCTGGCATGCGTAAATAAAGCCCCGGGTTTGATTCCTGTTCACACAGCAGGTTAAGCAAACTGAGTCAGGTGGGGCGGGAGGACCTGGGGGACCTCTGTGACCACCACTGAGAGCACCCCCAGGCTGGAACACTGGGAAGCTGATAAGCATGAAAGGGGGAAGCAGGCAGTTTGCTCAAGCCCCGGGAAACACCTCAAGCCACACTTGCCCTGGTGCAGACGGGCCTGCGGGCCTGCCTGCCTGCAGCCCAGCCCTTTGATTCCCCAGGCTGCTTCCCCACCCGCCTCTGGAAGTGTGGCCCTGGGGAGCTGGAGACCTCAAGTCACTTCCTGTAGCATCGGCACCTTCCCCTGCCTCCAGCCGGGCCTCCCGCCCTCCGGGGCAGATTCCTGACATGCCTGTGGCAGGAGGGTGTCCTCTCAGGGAGGCCAGCAGGGGTGAGAGAGCCCCAGCCGGCCTCCTCCAGCCCTCGCCTGCTAAGTGGCAGGGTGAGGGGAAAGGAGGGGTGCCCAGGCCCCAGCAGCCGGACGGCAGTGGCCCCTGGCGGGTCCGGCCCTGGGGACTGAAGGCAGCCGGGCAGTGGCGGTGTGCGGGCCTTCTGCATTCAGGTCTGTGCTTGCTCCCTTACAGTTCAAACTGCCTAAGGAGTACAGCTGGCCCGAAAAGAAGCTGAAAGTCTCCATCCTTCCCGACGTGGTGTTCGACAGTCCTCTGCACTAACATGGGCTGGGCCCCACCGGGGCCACAAGCACACCCAGCTGCTCCCAGGGACTTCTGGGGAGACCCCTGCACCCGGAGATCCTGCAGAGGACAGGACGCGTGTGAGGATGGGCTGCCCTGCCCAGGCCCGGGCGCTGCTTGGGCAGCCGTCAAGCTTTCCCTCCTGCTGCGGACCTGGTCTGTGGCCCTCGGTGGAGACAGACGGAACCAGACGGCGGGGAGGGTGGCCAGATGGGTGCCCAGCCCAGCTCCACTGTGGAGTCTTTGGGCATTCAGCCCCTGTGGCCACAGGACAGTCCAGGCCCCCACGCTGGTTTTCCTCCTCCTTATTGTATTTTATAGACACCGGACGGTATTTTATTGCTCTTCAAAGATGTCCAGAAGCCATGTATATAATTTTTTTTTTGTAAACAGAACTTTATTCTTAGAATGAACTGTCTCATTCTCTTGGGCCCAGCCTGGGGTCCTATCTCTCGCTGAACACCAGAGAAGGTGGCAGAGTTCACCTGGTATAGCTGGGGCCAGGGGGGGCAAGCTGAGATGCTTCCCCACCTCTGGGCCCTGAGCCCAGGGAAGGTAGACAGGGCCCTCACACACTTCACGGGCCGTCAGAATCGTGGCGACGAACCCAGCCTCACTTCCCAGGCCGAGGCTCGGGGTCTCACATCACCTCCTCCTGCCCCCCCTCATTCACACATCCCCTCGCCCTCCAGCTTTATGACAGGTGGGAAAATCAGCCCCTCAATCTGTCCTTCACCCCAGTTTTGTTTGTTTTGGTTTGGGGTCCATACCCAGTGGTGCTCAGGGGTTGCTCCTGGCTCTGCACTTGGGAATTGCTCCTGGCAGACTTGGGGGACCATATGGGATGCTAACGCCGGGGACCGAAGCCAGTTGGCCACGTGCAAGGCAAATGCCCTACCTGCTGTCCTGTCGCCCCGTCCCCTTCCACCCATTGGGCAAACACTGCTCGCTGTGCCCTCCCACCCCCTGCCTCGACTCACTCCTCTTCCTCGCCTGTTCTCCCCCAGCCACCTGCTGTCTACCCTCACCCCCAGCCCTGCATGTTCATCGTCTTCCCTCTGGCAGCCTGTCTAGCTCTGGCCCATGGTTTGGGGGATCCTCTGGAGAATCAGCAAATGGCTTTCATTCCTCTTTCACCTGACTCTTGGGACTGCTACTTTGAGATCCCTTTGCATGGTCGGGAGAGAGAGTACAAGGGTTGGTAAGATTCTTGCCTTGTGAGCCGCCGACTCCCAAGTACTGCCTGGTGTGATCCCCAAGTACCACCAGGTGTGGCCCTAAAGATCCCTCTGTAGAGCCTCACCAAAGCACAGTCTTCAAAGCCCACAGGCCCGGGGCGGGGCGGGGGGGGGGGGGGGGGGGAGCATACCAGCAGGGCGCCCGGAGGCTACCGGGCACAGGAGCCCTCACTTGGCAGACCCCAGCCAAGAAGCTGCTTCCAGGGGCAGGAGTTGGGTTCCCAAGGGGCCCCCAGGACCCGGCACCTTTGCACACACCTTGGGACTGCCCAGGCTACTGCGTCCAGCTCGGAGCCTCAAGGTCCAGCAGCGGCCGCAGCCGGAAATGACCTGGATCGGGCTGAGACCCTTCTCCGCAGTCCCCACCCCAGCACCCTCACCTCGGAGGTGCCAGAGAGTGCTGGCAGCTCACCTCCCTTTTTTGGCCATATCCATGCTTACTTTGGGGGGCTGGCCTCCACCTGCCATATTTGGATTTTTTTGTTTCATTTTTGGGTTTTTGGGGAGGGAGGTTGGGCCACACCCAGCAGTGTTCAGGGCTTACTCCTGGGTCTGTCTCCATTCAGGCGTCACTCCTGGTGGGGCTTGGGGAACCATATGGAATACTGGGGATCATACCTCGGTTCGCTGAGGCTGAGTGCCAGGCAGACACCCTACCCACTGTACTGTCTTTCCGGCCCCTAGGAGTATTTTCTGAGCTGAGATTTGTCATCGCGGGGGACACAGGTGAACTCCAGGATGCTGAGACTGGGGTCTGGTCCCACTGAGAACATCACCCCACTCCCCGCCAGCTCCCCTTCTTCTCAGGCATGGTTCTCACAGCACTTCCTCAGAGACGGGGTGCCGCTTGGGTTTCTGGCCCTTGAGAGGGACCCCTCACTGAGGACCAAGGCCGTTGACCCTGTTCCAGACCCGGCATGTGCCCCTTTTCTTCCCTGAAGTTCCTGGGGAGCCCTCCCCGCACGGCAAATTAGGTGTGACCTTCAGGAGCTTCCTTCCACGTGCCTCTTCCCCCCTTTTCTTGAGGTTTGCCCCCAATCTGCCCTCCTGGGGGACCCCAGCCCACCCTGGTTTTTTGTCTCCTGTTTGGGGGCACACACTGCCTTTCTGACAGGCCTTCTGGCCCCTGTGGCTCTGCCAAAAGCAAGACTTCGGGACTTGGATGGGGAGCCTGGGGGAGCCCCTACAAAGATGAACACAGGGCCTGGGACTGGGTTTTGAGTTGAGAGCAGAGAAAACCCCAAGTTGACGCCCCTATGGGGCAGTTCCCTTGACTATTTTTTTTTAATCTGGTTGTCTGTCCTCTCTGGCGTTCAGTCCTCTGTGCCAGGGAGGTGACGGGGTCCCTGTTACAAGTCAGGAGCCCTAGAGAGCCCCTCCTTTTGTACAAGACCCCCAGTGGTGCAGTGCACAGACTTTTGTAACGTTTTCTATGAGTTTCTAATGTCAGTGGCGACTCGGTTCCTCGGGGCTGCAGCCAGCCTGGGACTTTTGTAAGAATTTCTGGGTGACTCACTTAGAGGTCGTTTCCCTCCTGCCCCCTCTTCCTCTGTGTAATCGAAGCGCATTAAACGGATTTGCAGAAGTGCTGTGTCTTGTGCTGCTTTCTCGCTGCTGAAGAGGGGAGCAGAGGGCCCGGGGCCCTGGACCCACCTCTTGAAAGAAGAGGAGTGGGGTGTCTCCCAGGCATGTTGTTTGGGGGCCGGAGATATAGGACGGTAAGTAGGGCACCTTGCAACGTGGCCCACCTGGGTTTGATCCTGGCACCGTGATACTGTTCCCTGAACCCACCCAGGAGTAAGCCCTGAGCACCTCTGGGTATAACCCCGCAAGGGAAAAAAATAAAAGAGCGTTCTAGGGAATTAGGTGGTACCCAGAACAGCCGGGCCTTTATTCTCTTAATTCCTCCCAGGTCAAGGGGGCTGGAGACTGAGCACACCCAGGGAAGGAAGGAATGGCTTGCACGGCCTCTTCCTCGACCTTTCCACCCCAATCCCTTTCCCCTTGGGAGGGAGGGTGGGCCCTCCTTACCACCTTCCTGCCATACCCCTCCCTGATGGGGCCTGGGGCGGGGTGTGGGCACACCCAGTGGGTGACTCTGTCTCCTCTGGGCCTGTGGGGTTTGCCAGTGGCCATCTTCCGCCCTGGATTTCCCAGCTCCTGCCTCCAGGACAGGCATGACAAACCTCAGCCCAGTGCCCCTGGGGAAGAGAGGGGGACTTTGCTAACAAGAGGGAGTTTGTGTCCAGATGGAACATGATGGCCCTAGGTCCACACATAGCCTTTTCCTGCCCTCTGGACGGTGCTCAGGGCTTAATCCTGTCTCTGGTTGAACTCCTGGCAGGGCTCCTGGGGTGACTGAACTCGGTCAGCCATGTGCAAGGCAAGCTCAGGCCATGGGCCTATCTTTCTGCCCTCATCCCCTGACTCAGGACAGAGCTGCAGCACCCATGGGGCTCACTGACCCTGAGAGCACAGGGTGTGTGTCAAGTCCAGAGAAGGGACTCAGCTCCCTTCTAGGTGCTCCAAGAGGCCAGAGAGAGTACAGTGGGTAGGGTACTTGCCTGGCACACGGCTGAACTGGTTTGATCCCAGCATCCCATATGGTCCCCCGAGCATTGGCAGGAGTAATTCCTGAGAGCAGAGCCAAGAGTAAGCCCTGAGCATCACCGGACGTGGCCCCTGAAAGCAAACAAATCTAGGTCCTCCCCGCTGTGTCTGGGCCCCTTCCCCTACAACAGCCACTCCCAAGCCTTGATGGGCTCAGAGCTGCCGGGCGGGGTCTGTCTAGCCAGCCCCCTCCCCAATTCCATGCGGCAGCTAGAACAACAGAATTGGGCTGGTCCAAGCCAGGTTCACCCAAGACCCAGGCGTTTTTCTCCTTAGAGTTTGGGGTTGGGCCCAGAAGGAAGGTGGGTCAAGGTGAAAATCTCAAGATGGGAAAGGGGCGGAGCAAAAGTGAGTAGAGCGTTTGTCTTGCTTGAAGCTAACCCAGGTTTGATCTGATCCCCGGCATCCCATATGTCCCCCCAGCACTGCCAGGAGTCATCCCTGAGTGCAGAGCCAGGTGTGGCCCAAACAACAACAAAAATTACTTTTTAGTCAGGATGCGTTAAAGGTTATTAAGTCTTTTTTTTTTCTTTTTTTGGGTCACACCCAGCAATGCTCAGGAATTACTCCTGGCAGTGCTTGGGGGACCATATGGGATGCCGGGGATCAAACCTGGGTCGGCCGCGTGCAAGGCAAACGCCCTACCTGCTGTACTATCACTCCAGTCCCAAAGGTTATTAAATTTCAGGCATACAATATTCCTTCACCAGTGTCCGCTTCCCTCCATCAACATCCCCAGTTTCCCTCCCGCCCTGCCCCTCCCCCACTGCCCCAGTGTTCCCTTCCCTGACTTATCCCCACCACTCCCTAAAAAAGGCATTTCTAATTCAAAAGCTCAAGGATGCTGGAGATTTAATTCAACAAAAGAGGGAATTTTGCTCACAAAAGTTCTCGGGTAGGGTTAGAGCTGATAGCACAGCAGGTAGGGCATTTGCCTTGCAAGAGGCTGACCCAGGTTCGATTCTCAGCATCCCATATAGTTCCCCAAGCACCACCAGGGAGTCATTCCCGAGTGCAAGAGCCAGGAGTAACCCTTGTGCATCGCCTGGTGTGAGCCCCCCCAAAAAAATGTTCTCCTGTTAGAACAAGAGAGCACCAGCCCCCAGACTCTGGGAGGTAATGCAGCAGGTGGTAGGGTACTTGCACTTCTGTGGTCTCCTGAGCACCATCAGGAGTGATCCCTGAGCAGAACCAAGGAGTAAGCACTGAGCACAGCTTGGTGAGCACAGCTAGGTGTG